CTCCCCTGAAAAACATGCACAGTAAATGTACATGTACTGTACATGTACATGTACATATAATGTACAAACATGTATATTCTCGGCCAACCTCCCCTCTATGCTTGGTTCAGTTTTGCTTTCAATTTTAGTTTCAAAGTTTTAATCCCTTGCTTAATAGCTGCTATCGTGAACCTCCATGTTCATATCTCTCCTTCTCCCCCCTCACCCCCCCCCCCTCTCTCTCTCTCTCTCTCTCTTTCTCTCTTATTCCGCCCCCTCCCCTTCCTCCCTCCCCAAGTCAGCAATTTCACTTTATTCTTGAAATAATCTTAAAACGTACAAAACCCTCAACGCTTCTCACAAGTCGAAGAGTCACAACATTAACGTAAATCATTCCTGTCTCTGCAATGATGCCAACCCATAAAGTATGGGAGTACAGTACTGTTGCTCATAACATTTATTTTTAATTTGATAAAAAAATCAATACTTCAATTTCACAACATTGGATTATTTCAATCAAATTTAGAGGGCAAAATAACCAAGAGGAGGGTAAACGAAAGAGAGAGCGGTAAAAGAGGGAGGTCTACGGCTGGGAAGGCTAATTGAAAGCAATTCTCTTTCACCTGCCGGTAATCATAATAATTTGAAGCGCGTTGGGGGGTACTTGTTGAAAGTACATATTGACAATTCAACCATGGAAGGCATATTAAAGGTCATCACACGTTCTGGTCACGATAATATTAAAATCTTATGAAATTATCTGAAGAGACTGACAACTTGTGATAAGATATGGAAAAAGGGTATCAAAGTTTAATACAAGGGTGTACATCTTTCTGTAAAATGAAATTCGAAGAAAAATGAATATTCAATACAGTATTGTACTGGACATGGACACCAGAACACTAACCAGAAGCTCTTACACAGGAAGGGGGCTTAATCTAGGATAAGTTGTCAAGACTGGGGGGTGTGTTCAAGCACTTCTGGAAGCAAATGCTAATGTACCGTATCATATTAACTGTGCCGATCTAATGCGTACTGTACCAGGTGGTCAAAGGTAAAGCATGTAGCGCACCATTTTGAAAAACTTTCGAGCCATTTGGCACCTGATCACTATTGCTACATGAAGCTGTTGGGTAGCAATTAGGCAGATCTCATCGCATTCTCTGTGTACATTTTGGAATACGTGTACACTGTACAAACACCCTTTGCAATTTGGTGCACCCAAAGAAATCCTCCTATACAATGTACAAATGCACCTGTACAGATAACATGAACTCTTAAGTGCCATGTCTGGGAGTCGTAGACTAGCTAGCACGTCACTGCCTTGGGAGGGCTGGGTCAATACGAGGCGTTTACCAATCAATACAATGTTTACATTTTACTATGAGAGAAGGTGACAGGTGCCGATGACCCAATTTGAACAAAACTACGAAATGCAGCATTGACGAGGGCCTGCGTCTAATGGCAGGTGGATCAGAATTGATGGGGCTTCAAGGTTACTTCATATTAATTGCATCTACATGTCAATTAATAGATGACACTCATTTGATGATTGTAGAATTACAATTAAGTGCCATGTTAAAGTTTCTGTACACGTATAAGGTTTTGTTATATTACGGTTTCACATTTGATAAGTGGTATACAAGAACAAACAGCTTAATATTATTTTGTATTAATTAACTTTTTACTAAAAAATTACAGAATTCCAAAAATCTTGAATTTCGTTTACTTGTCCTTATCTGCAATTGAGCATACTGACTCTGTTATATTAGACTGCAGTTCCCATTTCGTCCAAAGAATCTTGCTTAAAGAATCTTACAAATTGTCTAATTGATATTCTTCTTAAACCCACTGAATACAATTTTATCTCGGCATAGACACCTTTTCCTGGTTTTCCATATATCTCTAGTCAAATTAACACAAACAAAATTACTATGTTTTCTATAATATGCTCACCATTTTCCCCCCTCCATTTTCAAACGGTATGTATTGGAACCGGTAATTATTTTCTTTAAAAATAAAAACAAAGTTATTTCTACTCCACTCCTTTTCTTTTGATTACTTTGTTTGCACTATTTCTCTGTTTAATTTCTAAATCATCTTGTTCTTCTTACACACATGTACAGTGTAAGTACAAAATGACTCAAAGTCAATTTCTAAAGATAACCAAATTCCCAATTTCAAACCTACTGTAGATCCGAGATTAACCATGCTAAACCGCAACCCTAAACCTATCATTGCCATCAGAACAAATGTCAGATTTCTACTTACACCCTTTTTGGTCTTCTTCGCAATACAGCTTAAAATCTAAAAATTCATTCCAACAAGCAGCCAATGAATAAGTAAAAATATAATTCAATGAAAGAAAAAATTGAATGTACAAATAAATAATAATAATAATAATAATAGTGGGTTCTTGTAAAGTGCTCATGTCTGTCAGACTTGACACTCCTGGCGCTTTGCAAATATTACCCTGGCTTTAGCATGGCTGCCATTACGGCGCTTAAGCATTTCAAGGACAAAATTCCTGCCAGGTACCCATTTCATGAAATGAAATAATTAAATACCGGTACTTGATTAATCAATCCATCAATTAATTAAATGAATAAACCTCATGAAAAATTATTGTCTATTTAGCGCCAAAAGGGACGTTTAATCCCTTCAGCTCCAAACTGAGGATGCACTGAATTAAATGGTGACAATGTCCCTTTAAAAACACAATCATGATACTGTGATGAATAATACAAACTTTCAGCACATGACAGATTTGATTAATTTAACCCTTTTAGGTTTGTTTACTAGAAAAACATGGATCTAATTTAGCAAATTAGTACGTCTGCATCATTTTGCCGATTTAATTCCCAATGCTAATTGACATTGTCTGGTGACATTTCAAACCAGTCATGAGTGAGTCTACTATCAGTTTCAACAGCAAAAAATAAATAAATGATTACAAATACCTTTCAACTTCCAATATATTTAGATCAACGTGTGTACTGCATGAATAGGAAATTTCAGCTCTGTACATGTACATGTACATGTACATGTACGGAGACACAAAATGGAAAGTTTTGTATATTATCATCTATGGTTAGTTCTCAATATCAATAACGTGTAATTCAGGTTTCTTGTACCCCAAACAAATCTTTAATGAATACTGATACTTTATAAAGGAGTCACTTTGTAAGATATTAAAATCAATGATTTGATCCATTCTCATATTGCGTAATAGCGATTACAAATAAATATATTTTGTCTTATTGCTGTCAATTTGCTAATTTGAGTAAATGCTTTAAAGCAGGACTGCACTACTTGTACATTGTAGCTACTTGAACCCTTTATACAGAATTATCGATGTTTTTATCATAGCTTAATCACAATTATAATTAATAAATGACACATACATGTATTTGAAAAGCTTAGATCTATTTCATTTAATGCAACTCATATAATGCATATTTCACGCATGAGTGATTAAAATGAATTTGAATAGAGGAAACCAAAAACTCATTTGGCGGACGGTATCTGAATTTCAAAGAGAAAAATCACAATTTTTAAAAAAGGGAGTTTTTGCCCTTTCATACACTGTATGACACCTTAATCAGGAAAAATGAGCTAGGAATAACAAAGTTCTGTTTGGTTAAAGAAGTGCTTGCATTTCCATAATTGTATTAAACGAATTAGTTTTCACTGGCTGCCTGCCGTAGCAACTTACGGAATTAACAAAAGACTTCACTCTGATTCTTTGACAATCAGCCGTTGACGAAAGACTAATTCATGCATGGCTGATTATCAACGAAACGGAGTTAAGTCTTTTGTCAATTCAGTTTGTTGCTACAGCAAGCAGCTAGTGAAAACGAATTCATTTGATAAAATTAGGGAAATGCAAGCACTACTTTTAAAACAAACAGAACTTTGTCATTCCTTGCTCATTTTTCCTGATTAAGGTGTCATATGAAAAGGCAGAAACTCAACTTTCTAGAAATGTGATTTTCTCTTTAAAATTCAGATACCGTCCGCCAAATGACTTTTTGGTTTCCTCTCTTCAAATTCATTTTAATCACTCATGCGTGAAATATGCATTATATGAGTTGCATCAAATGAAAGAAGAGGATCTTAGCTTTCCAAATATGTCTCCATTTATTAATTATAAATTTGACTAAGTTATGATAAAACATCAATAATTCTCGGTTTCCTTTTTTCTGGGACGCACTGTATATAACCAAAAGGTACCCCTTTTCTTTTGTTAATTGAGAGGTGATTTGTAGAGATAACCACCCGTCAGTAACAACGCAGGGAGGTCTAATCCCTCCTGGAAAAACTAGTGCAGATAGGGTTAAAGAAGGTAAATCACACATAGAACCTGATTTCCAAATACTTGCAAAATGTTCCTATATCATGTATTAAAGATATTTCTAGTTATCTTTGCAGGGACTCGTCCAGTCGTCTCACATCCTTGGTGACCAAATCAATGCTCAACATAAAAATAGAAAGACCTTGAAAGAATTCTCCCTTTCAGAATGGTGATCAGTACTTTAACTGAAAACATGTACTAAGAGTTAGTGAAATAGCGCTGACAAACCCTTTTAGTAGCTCCCTTTTTTTCTATTCTCTAGGAATGTTATTCTTGTTTCTTTAGGACAAATATATTTATTCATAATTTGAAAGAGCCATCCAGTCTAAACTCTCTAGGCATGATAAAGTACACATGTAAACTGCCTCAGTTAATTCTGAATGATCTATTTACCTACATGTACATGTACATGTAGTTTATACATGAATGCATGTGAATTTCAGTTTATTTTGCAAAATATGTAATAGCTATTTTAATTTAATTGAATGGAATGGAGATTAATATACATTTATGCATACTATCCTGTGTTGCAAGCAAATTTTTGTTGCCACGAGCAACGATTGGTAAGCTATTCCCGCTGGGAATGGGATGCCACAATGCCATTCATTCAAGTTAAAGACTAGTGTAAACAAGAAACGTTCTATAGCAACAAAAAAGATGCACTCACCTGCCAGCTAGCTCCTTGTCCAGGTACTTGGCTGCAAGCCTGGCTCCATACACCTCCCCCTGGAGCCCCAGGATATGCTGCCGGAGCTCAGCATTCTCCTTCCTCATCACATCCACCTCAGCTTCCAGCCTGACCTGCTTGAAGGAGTCTGTCTGGAAGGTTACCATCTCACTTTCCTATATTGGACAGATATATGGAATAGGACAGATCATAATTTAGGAATTTAGGAATTTGAAAGATGTTGTAACGATTCAAGCTCTATTTTCTTATGTTTCATCACCTTTGTGTGTTCATTCTTCAAACTGTATATAAGTTGCAACTTGTCTTTGTTATATTCTTTTTCACGTAAAGTTAATTCAAATGTATTGTAAAATTGAAAATGATTTGTCATCTTATATTAATTTTTCATGTGATGTTAACTTCAATGAATTGTGAAATTGTGAACATGCATAAATAAATAAATAAATAAATAAATAAATAATACAGTGAAACCCTTCAAACCTGTACACATCTACCACACAAGTGAATGTACATGTACAGTATGTACATGTACTTTGTATCTATAGTTTTATTTTTGTGGAGGTCCTTTGGCAAGACATTAATCAACATTTGCCACTCTCCAACAAGGTAACCGAATAAGGTTAAAGATAAAGTTGAGTTCTGGTCATGCGATTGCATTGTGAAAGAAAAGGTGTGGAATGGATCAGAAACAGTTGATCATGTAGCATGTACAGTATTGGTGTGTACTGCAAGGTTCTGGAGTTATTAAAATAATAATAAATTTGGCCCAGTCTTGGTAAAGTAACAAGCACTGTACACAGAAAGATGTACATATGGGACTATACAAATGGTAAGTACATGTACCCTGTACATATACCTTGATTTCCTTATCCTTATCTTTCTATGCTCATTACTCAGCCAGTATACCTGTACATGTAGATTTTCTACCAAAATTGTTTGGCAAATGACATATATTTGTAATCTTGAACATTAAAGTTTTGTTTGATTCTGTGAGAATTCATTTTCTTTCTTTCTTTTTTTACCTGAACTCAAATTTATCTTTATTGTTAAACGCTTTTATAGTTGACATCAATGAACTACCGGTAAGCTAAACCCAGATTATTATCATTAATATTATCAAATTGAAAACCCATAAAAGCTTCTTATCACAGTAAACATTGCCCAACAGGGTAAGACATGACTCTTCCCTTCTAAAATGGGATGACCAGGAAACATACAGATTATGAGTCATAGGGTCTTGAGATTAGCAAGCTGATTAATGATGGATTAAAGAAAATAATAGTCTTCACACCTATCTGCATTTTACACTGTACGTGCACTGATTTTGTTTTAGCAGTGCAATCCTCAGGAAGTTTGAACACACCGTAAGCGCCTGTTACATTGAACTGGCCATTCACTTCATGACAAATAATTTAAACTTGCTGGTACCAATCTTTTTTCTACACTACCTTGGTCTCTGAACAAATCAGGTCTAAGAGCAAATGTTCTGAAACAAAAATAACACCCCCTCCCCCCCCCCCCCCCTCCCAAATCTACCACTCCATTACATCAGAACCCTTTATTTGAAAAGAAACAATATCACATGAATATTACATTGTAGTTTGGCAACTTTGGGTTTTTGTTTAAAAAATAGCAAAATAGCTGCATTAAATATTCTCGTACAGTACATGTACATTGGTAAATTGCCTATCTCAGGTTTCTAGAAATAAGCAACCCAAAAAAGGATCAACAATAGATCATAACCAATAATTCATTGAAAATTTGCTGTTTGAAGACAAGAGTAGTCGGAAAGTAGGAAAACTGGCTACTTCCTTTCTCTGCCTTTGAAATTCTCTGATTTCTCTCCTATGAGAATTGGAACAAAGTGCCCTCTCTAAAACCCCTGATTTCAAAGATCCCTGGGAACACTGCAAGAGCTAAAATGTCAGGTGAAGCACCCCTTGACTTTATTGAACCCCTCCACATGTACAGTCAAACCTGGTTTAGTGACCACCTGTCTACAGACACCATATTTTGTGTTTCCCTTGAAAATGGTTTCTAATTGAAACATGTACTTTAATAAAGGAACCTGACAACCTGTACTAAAGACCACTTTTCTTGTCTCCCTTGGCTGGTCTTTATAGACAGGTTTCACTGTACATGTACAGGTGTACTGTACATACCAGTTTCTTCTTGATAGCCTCTGAGTCGACATTCTGGCCCATGTTAGAATGGAGTTGGAGCTGGACCGCATGGAGCTGAAGGAGCTGGTTGTGTAATTCCTTCTCCATGATCGTTTTGCTTGCTTTGGAGTCGCATAGGTCAGCTCTCATGTTTAGAATGTGTGCCTGCATGTAGAAAATAGGAAAATATTGCACTCATTTAATTTTTTCCTGGAAATGCACTACAGAGGCTCAAATTTCAAAACATGGTCAACATTATACCATACATCAATGCATCTCGTATCTGTATCTGGAAACATTGTTAAACGATGCCTTTGATCTGATTTTTCCTAAAAAATGAGGTAAAGCGAAATGAAACATGCTAATATTACCAGACACAGAACCTAGACTACTGTAGTCCTATCCTGCCATCAAATTATTAACTTAGCTCTGGCTATCGACCCTTAAGGCTTTATTAAATTTAATATAGACTAGTCGGCGCTTGTTCAGAAACCTATCCAAAATTAGGCATGTAACTCCGGCATGGAGATACCCTACTGAAAGTTACACAAAATGAATTAAATATTCATTAAATGTCCAAATAAAGGTCATGAGTTAAAGGTCGATTTATTTATTACTTGTTTTGTGTCGATTTTCTTGTTATTTTTAGAGTATTTTTTGGTAAAATGATGATATTAGTATACACTTTTTCCCAGGTTTCATGGCAAACCGCTGCACATTACAAGTGCCTACCGATGGTGGGTTGCGGGCGGGCGCGGTGCGCGCCTGTGTTGTGTGAAGTTATCTACCGTAACGAGGATCTGAGACATTACAGTGTAACTTCACACAAGCACGCGCCCGCCAACAACCCAACATCGGGATGCACTTGTATTGTGCAGCGGTTTGCTGTGAAACCTGTGAAAAAGTGTAGATCTATAGACTACTAATATCATCCTTTTCCAGAAAAATACTCTAAAAATAACAAGAAAATTGATACGAAACAGGTAGACCTAATAGTATAAACATAACGACTTTTAACTCATAATCTTTATTTGGACATTTATTTAATGAATATTTATTTCACTTTGGGCAAGTTTTAGTAGGGTATCTCCACGCCGGAGTTACGGGCCAAATTTTGGATAGGTTTCTGAACAAGCGCCGACTAGTCTAGGTCTAAATAGTAAATTCATCTTCCAAAGAATCAAATCAAATGCCTACAAAAAAAAGTAGACCCCGGCCCCAGGCTCTAGACCTAGTCTACAATCAATTAAAAAAAATGTTCAAGATCAAGTCTGCAAAAAAAGTCACAGTGCAAAGGTTTATTAATATTAAATCTATTTTACATCACTATAGTTATTGTACACTTCATTACAGAGTAATTTTCACACACAATTCGCATAACCCACCTCCAATTTTGCGTTATTCTGGAAAATAGTCTGAGCTTTGTGACACAGTTGAGCGAATGCCGAGCTCATCGAAGTCATTTTGGCTCTTCCTTCATAAGTCAGATCACATTGCTCAGGATCTACCTCTCCTAGCACCAAATCCAGATCTACAAAAGATTTGTCGAATTCCTTTTCGAGAAGATCTAGCCAGTGAAGAGCCGCCATGATGATGCTTCCTGTGGCAAACCAAATGAAATAGGAAATTGATTTGCTGCTGCTCGGCTGATTTTTCACACACAGCGGACACGTAGGCGGTTCTAGCGGGGCACTCCTGGGGAAATGAGCACGTACACTGCGATGAAACTGCTAGCTTCCGTACACTCACTGAGTACACTTCATTGTATTGCGTGTGTACAGTGCAGGATGCATAATGAGCTGGCCACATACAGCAGCGAGTTGTAGGGTTGAAAATAAGAGAGGGCGTATCTAGTCTGCATTCAACTCGAATTATTGATTCAATTTCATTCGTCAAACATAGATCTAGAACAACTATATTTTAATTCTTCACAATCTTGCAAATCACTTTTTCAATTTTGTAAGAATAAAAAAGCATTAATCTGGATGGGGTGTATTAGGCCTAGTATCCTCACCCATTTGGGGCAATTCAGGGGCGGCGCAGCGACTTTAAGAGGGGGCTGGGGCACCCCAAAAAAGGACACTTCTAGAAAGAAAAAAAAAGGGCACCTTCGAAGGGAAATCTTAACAAAGCGAAAATATGAAAAAATGTAGACATTGGTATATACCCCTATATTGTGGTTACATTTTCTGGAATATTTGTTTCATCATACAAGATATGATAGCATCATACTTTCCAGTTGGGTGTGATGGTCTGAATATTTATATGCAAGCGAGCGAGGAAAAAATTCAAGATTTGTGAGGTCTCAGTACGAAAAATTACATCTCATAATTAAAGAGGAAAAACCCAATCCTGGTGGGGTTATAAGCACAAGTCATTCACATATTAACGGAAGGCCTGAAAAGACCTTTGATAAGTAACATAATTATATGATCTATAAATGCAAGTGAGTGTAGGGAACAAACTTTGGGGGAAATTGCTCTTAGTGAATTTAAATTAGGGGCACGTTTAATTATGAACGGAAAAAGGGACACTTATCGAAAGGAAAAAGACGCTTATTATAAAAAGAAAAGGAGCACGTGTCAAGGTACAAAGGGTTATTATCAGAGGTGAAAATGGGGTACTTCTTAAACCCGAAAAGAGGCACTCACCAGGAATGGAAAAAGCACTAGCTTATGAGAATGGTAAATGGGTATTTTCGATGGAAATGGGGCACCCATCAGATTTTGATAGAGGTATTTATAAGAAGGAAAATGGAAACTTGTCGAAGGAAAAGGGGCACGTGTCAAAATATAAAAGGGGCACTTTTCAAAGTAGATGGGCACTTTTCCTATATAAATAGGGGCACTTTGGGGGTACTTGAAAAAGTGGGACCCCCCCCCCCCCCTCCCAGGAGCGCCACCTCTGAGGCTATTTTACAAGTTGCCAGAAAGTCATGTTAAGACTGAAAAAATAGATAAATAAATACATAATAGAACAACAAAGTGACCAACAGCATGTAATTAAAAAGTAATTTGAAATTTTTCCAATAAATTATATATGACATATTAAGACAGACAATGTTTCAGAAAGGCCATTGTGTAATCGTATTATTATTATCAAACTGAAAACCCTTGAAGCTTCTAATATCACAGCTAAGCCTTGCCCGACAGAGTAAGACACGCCTTCTAAAATGGGATGACCAGGAAACATACAGATCATGCGTCATACATGTAGGGTCTTAAGATACCAAGCTGATTAATGATGGATCAAAGGAGTCTTCACACCTATCAAGAAAACGGGACTAATTCTGCATTTTACACTGTAGTGCAATGCTTTTGTATAATTAGCAGTGTAATCCTCAGTGCCTTTTACGTTGCACTGGCTACAATGTATTTACTACAGTCATGACAAACAATTCAAACTTGCTGGTACCAATATTTTCTCCACACAACCTTGGTCTCTGAACAAATGAGCTCTAAGAGCAAACGTTCTGAAACAAAAATAGCACTCTCCTCCCCCCCCCCCCCCCCCCCCCCCCCCCAAAAAAAAAAAAAAAAAAAAAAAAATGTTTTTTTGTTTTTTTGTTTACCACTCAAGGGTCCGTTTCATAAAACTTTTAATCTATAACAAAATGCTTAATTTATATGATAAGTTTGCTCTCAGCCAATCAGATGCCTTGATTCAGTAGCTTATAACAGTAGCTTGTAACATGTTATTGATATCACGTTTTATGAAACAGGGCCCAGTACAGCAGAACCCTTTCTTTAAAAAGAAAAATTATCACATAAACATTAATTCAGCAACTTTGGGCTTTTTTTTTATGAATAATAGGTTATTAAAGAATTAAATATCTCAGGTTTCTAGAAAAACGCATCCCTATAAAAGGGGTCAAGAGAGATCCTAACCAATAATTCAGGGGAAATTTACTGTTTGAACAAAAGAATAGTCAGAAATTAGGAAACTGACTAATTAATACACTTTCTGTGCCTTTGAAATTCTAAGATTTCTCTGCTTTGAGAATTCTTTCTCAAGTTCCCTGACCTTTCCTGTTAGGACTGGATCAAAGTGCTCTCTCTGAAACCCCTGATTTCAAAAATGGCTGGGAACACGGCAAGAGCTAAAATGTCAGGTGAAGCAAAAAAATAGATAAATAGATACATGTACACCTAAATAATATAACAACAAAGTGACCTCGTCCCCGTGATCCAATGGGTGCCAGGTAAAAATGTCAGAGGTAAAAATGTCAGAGGTAAAAATGTCAGAGGAAAAAATGTCAGAGGTAAAAATGTCAGAGGTAAAAATGTCAGAGGTAAAAATGTCAGAGGTAAAAATGTCAGAGGTAAAAATGTCAGAGGTAAAAATGTCAGAGGAAAAAATGTCAGAGGTAAAAATGTCAGAGGTAAAAATGTCAGAGGTAAAAATGTCAGAGGAAAAATGTCAGAGAAAAAATGTCAGAGGTAAAAATGTCAGAGGTAAAAATGTCAGAGGTAAAAATGTCAGAGGTAAAAATGTCAGAGGTAAAAATGTCAGAGGTAAAAATGTCAGAGGTAAAAATGTCAGAGGTAAAAATGTCAGAGGTAAAAATGTCAGAGGTAAAAATGTCAGAGGAAAAAATGTCAGAGGAAAAAATGTCAGAGGTAAAAATGTCAGAGGTAAAAATGTCAGAGGAAAAAATGTCAGAGGAAAAAATGTCAGAGGTAAAAATGTCAGAGGTAAAAATGTCAGAGGTACAAGCACAAAAAATGAGTGCCGTCATAATATCTCAGCACTTTTATCACACAGAATGTCGAGACGTACAGCTACTGCATGGGCTAGTCTATTATATTCCTTTCTTCCATAATGTAAATTTTATAAATGGCTGTCTGTTGTATTTCGTACATGTTATGAGGATAATACAATGTGGAAAATAGATTTTGAAATTTATTTTTTTGTGATCAGGCTTGCATATATATCATGTATGAATGTCTAACATTTTTTGATATTTTGAATTGGTTGATGTGTTAATGTTTGTGAAACGGACCGGTTTGGCCGGTGGCAGCCTACAACCTAGCCCATGTAACGTTCCAGAGACGAACAAAGTCCAAACGAAGAAATGAAAGTTCTCGACAAAAGTCAGATGTTAAAGTGAATAGTGCATTTAGTACAAATAATTACATATAATCACGAGGAATCACGAAAAGTGACATAATAAGGCTGGACGCCCAGAACTCTGCTAAAGCTTTAGCACCTCATGGCGGCAAAGGAAGTGGAGTAAGAATAAACAAGAAGTCGCCCGAAAAGTGAAAACTCGCTCCGAAAACTAAAAACCCGCTCCAAAAAACCGTCTCGATTCAGAAGCTCATCCCCATTTTAAACCCTCCGACACGGTGTGACCCCTCATAAGGGCGTGTCACTACGACGCATTGCGTCAAAATAACCCCCGGCACCATAGTTACACACCCATGTCGAAAGGAACTTTATTAATTTTGCGAACTTAACCTCCAGAGTTGAGCTTTCCGGCCCGCAATACTCATCGGCCTCGTAACTTACATAACTCTCACATTTGCGCTCTTTCGATCTTTAACTCTTTCTTTCGACATCTTTATTAAATCCGAAGAACGCAAACGGGCCGGAAATATAACAATCCTGGAGGCAATTATTTGAATGATAATCGGAGCATGCATTACGATCTCGCACATAAACATTCTGAACTAGGGCACAACAGTCCTATAGAAACGATGAACCTTAACAAGAAGCTACCCCCCCCCCCCCCCCTCAAAAAAGAAAGTTGTTTACTCCATTAACTATTCCGTTGATACCCAATGTACACCCCCTCTTTCTTGTTTCCCTTTTGCCAATATTGTTTCCTCCACATTTGTGTTATTATGTATTCATTGAGGGTAGTCATGCTATCAAGCTATGCTTACTTTGTCAACCCTCCTGGTTGAGGTTTTCGACTAGTTACAGACAGCCTTACTATACTGTAGGCCCCCCCCCCCCCCCCCCCCTTGTTCCGCCTCTACTCTTTTGTCATGTGTTAAATTTGCAATGATTTGTTTGTTACATGTTCGTAAAACTGCAAAAGAAAAAGAAAATCAAACAGAAATAAATAATCGAAATCAAATCAAATCAATGAGTCATGGACCCCACATGTTTTACAAATACGTAGGCGTCCCTTCCTGTTTACACCCATGACAACCAGTTTGACCCAATAACTGGCAACTGCGAACAGTGCAAGGAGGCGAACGAACTTTTCTAAGACCAAAACAAATCGTAAATTTCATTACCGCTACAATCATTTGGCTTTTAGGAAGTAAGTACATAGAATATTAAGATTGAATGAGATAATTGAAACATGGACTCAATTATTAAGATTGCACAGAAATTCCACAAATTCAGTCATCAGACCCAATTTCATGTTCATCGCCTAGCAAAGACTGTTATGTCCAGACGCGGATCCAGGATTTTCCAATAGGGGGGGGGGGGGGGGGGGGCCGAAATTTTTTAAATCGCATAGACCAATATTTCAACTTAACATACCAATACTGACAAGGTCATAGCACCTTACCGGTACCTACAAGCGGGCACAATTTGGAGAGGGGGCAGGCTCGTGTCATGTATGTTGTCCGATATCAACATCCGCCTTTTTTTAAATTTATGCCTTTTTCCCTAGCGCGGAAGCTTTGACATTTCATTAAATAGAGAAAGAAGTCGATTCATTGTACCATTCCGACTCTTAGTTAATGTTTCGCCCCTCCCGCTCATTACATCATTAGAGAAAGATGACGATTGGTTGTACTATTTTCGACTCTTAATCCTTGTCTGATTTCGGTTTGATTAAATTATCTGAGAAAGAAAACAATTCGTTGTACAGTTCTCTACTCTAAATCCTTGTCTGAATTCAGTTTCCCACTCCTGCGCTTCGCACGGAAGCTTTGACATTTTCATTAAATTTTATTATAAGAGAAACAAGACGATTCGCTGTACCGTTCTTTACTTTAAATCCTTGTCTGATTTCAGTTTCATTAAATTATCAGAGAAAGAAGACGATTCGTTGTACCGATCTCTATACTCTAAATCCATTCAGTTTTCTCCCCTCCCGCGCGAAGCGCGGAACCTTTACGTTACCCTTAGTCGTTACTCTTAATCCTTGTCTGAATTCAGTTACCCCCTACCAGGCGAAGCGCGGAAGCTTTGACGTTTCATTTAATTATTAGAGAAAGAAGACAATTCGTTGTAGCGACTATTAATCATTGTCTGAATTTTCAAAAATGTTTCTCTGTCTCATCGAGCAAAAACTATCGACACTGCGGATCCGACACAGCAACATAATTATCATGCGTATCTTTCTTGCTCCCTCGACGTGGCGACTCCACCCAACATCCCCTCTCTCTCTCTTACTCCCACCCCTCTTCCATCAGGCCTTTACCTACATCTCTCTCTCCTCTCTTTCATTCTCGTTTCTTTTTTCTCTCTTTTCTTCTTTTTTCCCCCTTTTCTCCTTTTCTTTCTTTTCTTTCTTTTCCTTTTCCATTCCCTTTTCTTTTCTCATTTTCCAGTTTTCTCTTTCTTTCTTCTCTTCTCTTTCCTTTCTTTTCCTTTTCTTGTTTTCTTTTCTTTGCCTTTCCCCCTTCTTTTCCCCCTCCCCTCCGCTCACTTTTCCCGACAGCTGCACAATTTTACCGACAATTTCCTGACAGGTGGGGGTGTCGCACCCCACCCCCTCCCTTAGCAACGCCTCTGAGTGCAGGGTCTGTTTCAAACGTTTAACTTCGAATCCGTGGCTCAGGATTTAATGTGGCCTGCCCCCTCTATTCAATAACCCCCCCCCCACACACACACACACACACACTCCAATAACGTCTCCCAAGCCTTCTGGAATAACCCCCGATCTCCCGATTACAATTCTGCTCCTCTTTGTAGGGCCGAGCGGGGCTTCATCATGAGTGCTTTTACATGAACCTTTTTAAAATAAATATATTATGCTGGATTTCGACCCGGATTGCAAAGACTAAAATGACAGGGTGATCATCCCCAGTATACGCTTGCAGTTCACAGTCATGTGCACCCCCTTCCTCCGTATTCCCTTATATACCGTTACCGTCAATGCCAGTTACATATGGCCGGCCCCCTCTTCAATAACGGCCCCAAGCCTTCGGGAATGACCCCCAAAATGTCCTGATTACCATTCTGCCGCCCTTTGGAGGGGCCGGGCGCAGCCTTTTCAGAAGACAGTGTTTTTACACAACTCTTTTCAGGTACTACGGCTCATAAACAAGTATGCTTAGAATTATTGAAAATAAGCTGAATTCAGACTCAGTTTTGCACAACCTAAAAATTACAATACGGACAGTCACCCCCCCCCCCCCCCCAGTTTTCTCTTACTCGTTGTTTCTGTCACTTTATGCCATTTCCTTGTCTTTCTTCATTTCTCACCCGGCTTCTCTCTTCTTTTTCCTTTCTCTTTTCCTCTCTCTCTCTCTCTCTCTTTCTTTTCTCTTTTTTTTTCTTTTCTCTTCTCCTTTCTTCTCCTTATTTCTCTCCTCCTTTCTTTTATCCCTTCTTTTCTTCCTCTTTTTTCCTTTTTTTTTTTTGGCGCCGCTAATAGGGGGGCCGCGGCCGTTTCGGCCCCCCTGGATCCGCCACTGATGTCTAGAACACATTAAGACAAAGACACGAATGCTTTTTTCTCCTTCATCAATACTTTATTTCAAAAGTTTAACAAACAATATCAAAGCTTCGCTTGGTGAATGTTTGGATAGTAGGTTTACATGTAAACGTAGAGACATAGCCATGTATCTTGTCATGTGTTTTCGACTTTATGCAGTACGTTTCGAAAGGTAGAAATGATTGTATTTGTTGGGTTAAACATAACACGGTGTAACTTTAATAAAATCATGTTTGTGATTAAAACCCGTGATAGAAATACAGTTTAAATCCCTCAAATTCAACCGGGTTTGTTTCCTACCAAATTCCTGATGCATTATGTATAATGTGTTGACTTGAACGAATATGTATCTGCTGGAAATTGTCGCATAAATATGCCAGCACACCTTTTATAAATCCTGCACCAAATATCCCGTAAACAGTATTATCATGCAGGCAGTCTCATTGTGCTACAAAATGTGTACAGTAAAACCAGTGGCGGATCCAGGGGGGGGGGCCCGGGGGGCCCGGGCCCCCCCCCTTGAGAAAAAAATCATGTAAAATCACGTGATTTTTACCTTTTTTGGGGGTTGGGCCCCCCCCCTGGCGCTCAAGGGGGGGGGGGTGCAAATTGAAATTTTTTTGAGGATCAAAAAAAAAAAATGTGCTCACTACCCCCCCCCCCCCCCCCCCCCCCCCCCCCCCCCCCCCCCCCCCCACTGAGCGAATTTTTGGCCGGCGCGTTTTTCAAATTTTTTCGGGAGCAAAAAAAAAAAAAAAAAAAAAAAAAAAAAAAAAAAAAAATTGTGCTCTGTATGACACCAACCCATCCCCCCCCCCCACTTAGCGACTTTTCGGCCGGCGCGATTTTCAAATTTTCGGGAGCAAAAAAAAAAAAAAAGTTGGGCCCCCTCCCCTAAGAAATCCTGGATCCGCGCCTGAGTAAAACTATGTTTCTGATGTGTTGCTCAACTTGCTCGTGAATTGGTCAATTTCAGAGTTTGATCACTCAAAGTAAATAACACTTATCGATGGGGCAACTTCATTAAAAAAAAAAGATCTATTCAAAATAAAATAAGAAAAATGCAAAGTCTAAATATTTAAACATGAGGCGCACAAAATTGTAGATGTGTGGAATTTAATAACTTCAGTCTCTCCGTGCGGCCTGTATAGCAATAACTGTTGTCATTGTACGCCTGATTTACATTATCATGATTTTTAAATGTACGAATACTTATGTTATCACTTATCAATCACCTACGTATCACATTTGACTGATTACAATTAGTTTCTACTGATAAATGTCTCTTATATCAGCTGAAGTAGTACAAACTTTAAGATCTGAACGAGTAACGAAAAGAGTGAAAACAAAAATACAGTGCCCTTCCATGCAACTTAAAATAAAGAAAAAACGAACACCTAACACTAACACAGCAACACAGTTGCCAGATTGCAGGTAAACACATAAAAGGAGAGTCTCATTTCAGGCCGTCCTAAAAATTCAGACGAGGTAGTTCAGCATGTTTAGTCTTCATCAGCCTCCACATTCAGTATTCGTAGTGGTCTTATGTTGTGACTGATTGCGTGAAGGAACTGTACCATGTCGCGCCTTCCATCACGCAAGTCCATGTAAAGGTTGCGGAGCCTCTGCTGCAGATCACGGTACACCCTCTTGGTTTCCTTCCGTGGTGGGTTTCCCATCATGAACTGGGAAATCGCGACTTCAACCGCTGCTTGCTCTGCCTTCAGGTTTTTCACGGCTTTCCAGAAGGTCGGATGATAATTTCCCACCTGCTTTAAGAAGCCGAAGTTCCATGACTCGCACGCATTGTTTGTGCGCGGATTGCCGTCTATTGTGGCCTGATGCACATTCCAGACATGCGGTGGGAAGATGGCTGGGAGGCGGTAGCGCATGTTGAATTGCTGTCCTTGTCGTTGCTGCTCAGGCCCTCTGATATACGTTCTCTCAAAGTACTGCAATAGAGCATTGCCCTCCGGAGGAGCGACGGCATTCACGTACTCGAAGCCTCGCACCACATCTCCTTCCGGTAGGAACGCCAATCCATCAAGCATTCCCACGAAGTGGCGGAAGTCAGCATCTTCACGATAGTGCTCTCCCAAACCAAGCTCCTGCATGAACAAAGACAATTCATATAAGTGAGAATAATATTTACACAAGGTGTTGAGCTAAGTAATAATACTAGTTTTTAAAAAGTCTCTAAACGCTTTAACAAACAAAATAAAATAATAAACAATGACATATATAATAAACAAAACCCAAACCATAACCCCCCCCCCCCCCAAAAAAAAAAAAAAAAAAAAGCAAATAAACCTACAAATACCAATTCATATGAAACACACATCTATGTGAACAGAGAAAGTTAAACTTAATCATCAAAAGCAATTCTGAATAAATGTGTCTTGGGGCAAGTTTTGAATTGGTTAACAGTCTGACAGTTTTGACATTTAAAGGTAGTTTGTTTTAAAGTTCAGAAGAAGCTTTGCAAAAAAAGCGATGACCATAAGAAAGAGTTGACACCAAAGAAGACACGAGGTTTAATTGTATGCTGGAGTGCCCCAAAGAAACTACAGTACTTTCATATTTTTTTTAATGCCAAAATAATCTTACATTTGACTTAGAAATGGGAAGACAAAACAGTGTGTCTCAAAACATAGAAATCGAATTTAACGGCAAAAATAATGAATACATCATTTTACAAGATATGTATTGAAAGCTATGCTTCAGTCTCTACTTTCATTTGATGCAGAATTTGATATGAATAATTCATGCATGATTGAATTACAACAATGAAAAGTATCTCTATCAAAATTGGATTTGTATATGCAAATTGCAATAAATATATATAGCTTTTGATAATTTTGTCATGAAATCCGGTTTCTTTTTTTTTCTTCTGGGGCATACTGTGTATTTCAGTTAATTTTATTATTCCCACGATACCAACGAAAAAAACGTTGTTCACAGCATCCGATATTCTTTGAGCAATACAGTTTTCACGTATAATCGATTAATTCAATAATAATTAATAGAAAATGAGTATCCTTAATCATAGGATTATCACATTGATCAAAATAAAGTAGTCTTATTTCTGACATTTTGGAATAAAATGAGCTTTCCTATTTGAAATAAAATTTTACGCAATACGCATTATCTTGTTTGACAGAATGATGTTCCCTACAAAATCATAAATTTAGGTTCGTTGTTTAAAGGAAAACAGTAATTGATGTAATATTCACCTGTACGCGCCTCCAGGTTGACTGCGTCAAGTGGTAGAAGCACCCCTGGTTTCGATGAGGGGTGAAAACTGCCTCTGCTGCTCGCATGGCGGCAATCTCGAAATCAGTTATGATTGTGGCAAGCATGGGTTGGAGTCCTAGTTCTGCAATCTTGTCCAGCACCGCTTGGAACAATTCTTGATATGTTTCTCTGGATTTGTTTTGCAAAAAGGCGTAAAGCACAGTGATTTCCACCTCCCCCAGAGGCACTCGAATGATGTAAAGTTGTTTGAAAAGTTTCGGAGACATGGCAAAATTGCCATCCATAAAACAAAGTTGGGCATTTGCGAAGTGGGTAAGACACTCCTCTGTGGCGAACGCAATGATTCTACTCCGAGCTTGTGGACCGTTGTCGTATAGGAGGAACTGCGTTGGGTTGGGCCCATCCGTCATCGTTTGTTCTGGGTTCATGTTCAATTCTGCTAGGGTTGCAGGCTCCAGAGGTCCTCTGCGTTGATTTAAGATTGTCCTTCTGATAACGGTGCGGCTCGGAAGACTTCCCTGTGCTTCTCTAGGCAGATTTCTCACCGTATCAGTGTAAATTTGTTTGGGTGTGTCATTGGTTGTCGATGCCCGTGCCTTCATTTGCTGCCGCGCTTTTGCTATCTCCGCTCCTACTAGGTCAACGTCATGGTTGTGTGGGTTAGCTGTGTTCGGTTGGGCCCGATTGAGATCTGTTTTTAAGGTTCCTTTGCACCCACGTGTACGCCTCACACACTTCCAAAGAATGGACACCTTGCCCTCAAATACTTTCGTGTACATATGCCCCTCATATATGACCTTCATTCCACCCTTATTTGATGCAATTACCTCCATCGCATGTCGTTTGTCCTTTTTGATATCTATACGTTCTTGTCGAGGGAATAATTGATGCCCATTGCTGTTCTCCCAGACTATTTATACCTCAATATTAATCCGCAATCAACTTTTTTGCGCATCATTATATAAATAACGATGTAACTTAAACCGAACCTCTGCAAAGCGCGCGCTTCTCTGGAATGTGATGGTGCGGTTGGTATTTAAAGATAAAGTTGAGTTCTGGGGCCCGTCTTACAAAGAGTTACGATTGATCCAAATCAATCGTAAGTCCTCCAATCAATCGTAAGTTTGCAGTCTCCTATCTCTTATGTACATAGTTATACGATTGATATCAATCGCAAATAAGTTACGATTGATATCAACTCTTTGTAAGACGGGGCCCTGGTCTTGCGATTGCATTATGAAAGGAACGGTGTGGAAGCAATCAGAAAAGGTTGATCATCTAGCATAAACATGTAAGTATTTGTGTATAGTGCAAGGTTTTGGAGTCATCAAAATGATAAAAACTTTGGCCCAGTCTTGGTAGTAACAAGCACTGTACACAGAAAGATATTGATATGGGACTAACACACATATGGCAATCAAATCGGGCCTCATTTTAAAGCTGTTACTTGTCATATCTGGGATATGAAGTCATTTGAAATAGATTTTCAGGGAATAACTTTTTTCTTTGATGTTCTTCCACACTTGCATAATAAGAATGATAACAAACGCTCACAAATTATTGTTCACCTTTCCCCAGAACTCAACTTTCTCTTTAATTGATGGAACATGGGCGGCTTTCTGCTTTGTATCGGAGTAACAAAGCTGATTATTGATTTTTTCCCAGACTATTTTATACCGCAATAGTAATCGACAATATTTTATTGCAACGCGCGCACTTCGGGAATGTGATGGGTTAGCATTGATAACATGGCTTCCTGCTTTGTTTCAGAGTATCAAAATACCAAGCCCACAAGAAAGTGGAATTATCGGAAATATGCATTTATTGGAAATTACATATAATAGTAGTCATTGCTACGCAGTTTAAATGTCCAACAATCTTCAAAAGTGAAGGAGAAGTGGGAGGGGGGGGGGGAGGTTCATAGATATCTGATCCTATTTTGGGGGCTGTACTGACTTTTCTTTTTATTTAATAATTACACCATGGAGCGACAACTCAGCCTATAAAACATGGCCAAACTTCTCGATTATAGAAATCTTTTTCCCCAGAAGTTTGCTCAGTGTACCAGTACCATTTGCTTTTACAAAAGCATACCGGTATATAAATATTGAATAAGGCAGACTAATGGGACATGCATGGTTGCTACTCCGAGTTTCACGCCTTGCAAGCGATCATCAGACGACTGATAGCATTCTTCAAAGTACATGATTCCTCTGCAACCTTGGTACAAATACGCTCAAAATAAGACTTAACTAATACAATACCTGAATACAATATAATAAGAATTACTCATGAGTACTTCTAATTGTATTTTATTAGTTAAGTCTTATTTAAGGGGTATTTGTACCAAGGTTGAAGGCAGGGGCGTATATCCCATGAATATCTACAAATCTAACCCTATAAACCCGGGGCCGTATGCTAAATTGTTTTTCCAATGGACTATCTATAGTAATTGTGTATGCGCAAATGATCATTTTCCTCGACGACATAAATATACGAATTATTTCGTAAACTTAGTCAACATCAAAGCTATATATTTTAATGCAGGTGCGGAGCTAGGATCCTATTCAGGGTTCTTGTTAATAGCCGGCAACCGGCTATTTTTTCCGGCTGTAACGGCAATCGTAGCCGGCTGTAAGCCTCTCCAAAAAAAAAAAAATAATAATACAAAAATCACATCATATTCGGTCAAGTCGCTATCTCAAACCCTGCTGGTCTTCAGACTGTCGGGCTGAGCATTCCCAGCCCCGGACTATGGCACAAATTGGGTCATCCTGATAAACAGAGACCACTAATAAACAACATAAAACATGTCTTATTATTCCTCATCTGAACTTGATATCATGATTAACCTTGCAAAGTTACTCTGTGAAGATAGCTGATCTGTGACGTGTTTATATATGCCTTTGCAATGCAATGTTTGCACATGGTCAGGGAGAGAGCTCCCTGCATGTATCATTGCCATATGAAATTATGTGGAAGTGTGTATCACACACACCCAAGACACACCCTGCAATGAGCTGATCCAAGTTAGTGACCAATGAGGAAGGTTCTCTAGCTATGTGGGTGGAGTTTGATACCAGCATAAATTACAGGTTGGTGACCGCGCGTGCTTTCACCGTACCCAGTTCAGTGGGAGGTCAAGAAGCCACGCCCACAAGTGTGCATGTGACAAGCATGAGCTCTCCATCTGTGTGTATGTACAGTGTATTTGGGCGCCGGAGGTTTGTGTGTACATGTGTGTGTGACTGAGAGAGCACGCATGGGCTAGCATGTCCCTGCATGTCCCTGCATGGACGAGGCAGGGACATGAGTAAGACAAGTAAGACAAGTGAGACTCGATAGAAAGGATGGCTGTGTTAATCGGCTGAATTGAAGAATGATCAAAAACTTAAATTACTCACAATATCCAAGACTTTGTTGATTGATATTTCTAAAAATTCAATTATTATTGTTATCAATATTTTTGTATTTTATTTATATATGAACATTATTTTAGGGGGCGAGTCGGCAAGGGATGGATATTAATATTGAGAGAGAGAGAGAGACTCGGGGGAGAAGGGATGTGAGAGGAACTGACCATCGAATGTGTAAACATTTAGAAAGTTGTGAGCTGAGAGTGCAGTAATAAGAAAAGGTACATGAGCGATGAACACATTGCAGAGAGAAGGGAATAAAGAGGGTGAGAAAAGAGAGAAGGGGGCTGGTTGTTTTATTGTTTACAAATTCATTCATGGGAATTACTGCTGCCAGAAAGCTGGCGCGCAGCGGCCAGGGTGTAACATTACACTGCGGTTTCTTTGATTATCTTTATCATCGGCTATTAGCACATTCCAAAATGTATGCAAATAACGGTTAACCGGAGCGAGAAATGCTAAACGGTTTTGATGAATGCGGTCGGATAACCGTCGGTTAAACGGTTTGACTCAGGCCTAGTGTGAAACTGTGATTGATTTGGCGATGCACGATTCGATTCAGAATACGAGCGCTGCACAACCGGTGCGGCACGCTATACACATACACTGTCACAGAGACTAGACCGTAGACGTACGTTCGTAAACAAGCTCAAGCCAGCGAACTCCGCTCGCAATAATTTAAAGAGGCCAGCTCCAGAGCTCGCTCTGCGTCCAAATGATCACCCGCATTGGCATTGCTATTTATACTTCGTAATCCTAAGTTAGATCTACCGTATTGTGAATAAAAAATGAAAATTTGTACTCATATGTACTCAGAACTTTGTCCAACACCGATATAATCCTTATATCTATTTGATAATTGTTTCAATACAACAACAAAAAGGTTTTTTTCTGGATCTTTTCTTTTCGTGTTGTAACATTTTTACTTTTACTTTTACTTTTAGCGATCTATTTTACCGATTCGAAAAACAGAGGTGGCATATTGCATATAAACGTTAAGCGCATGGCGATTGGAAGAAAAGTACCGAAAACTATTTTTTTTTTGTAGGCCTAGAGTCTATAGAAATAATTATTAATTATTTTTTTTTTAATTTTTTATCGCAAACGATTTTCTTCACTGACAAGGTCCTGTAAACGTCAGTTAACCGTTTTTGCCCAGGACTACCTTGTATCATTATCATGTAATTCAAAATTGTAGATTCATCACAAATATGATTGATTTATCAGAAACAATAATGGAGCATTTTCATTTCATATTGTATATCATATGAAAAGTAAGTTATTCAGCCAAAATATTCATGATCTTTATCATTAAACTATGGCTCATACAGTGTGGTCATATCTTCAAAAATAAGGCTAAGATAGCACCAGAGAGCATCTAAAACCCTAAAGCTTCCAGGGTCCTGGACCCCGGCCGCAAGGGACTTCGCGCTCGTGATGTGCGCTTCGCGCACATGGTGATGTGCGCTACGCGCACAGAGATTTTTCTTTTGCAATTTTAGTAGCCTCCTGTAAATCATAAATAGCCTGCTATCAGAAAAATTAACAAGAACCCTGCTATTTCAGGGAGGGGCGGTAGTGAGCAAGCGAAGCGTGCTCATTAGGGGTGTCGGTGTTAGGCCTCCCGCACGAAGCGTGGAAGCTTAGACGTTTCCCTAAATTATTAGGAAAAGAAGACGATTTATTGTACCGATCTCGACTGTTAATCCTTGTCTGGATGAGGTTCCCCCTCCCGCGCGAAGCGCGAAAGCTTTGACGTATTATTAAATTATTATAAAATGTAGACGATTTGCTGCACCGTTCTCGATGTTGATCCTTGTCTAAATTCAGTTTCTCCCCTCTTTGACATTTCATTAAATTATTAGAAAGTAGATGATTCGTTGAACCGTGCTCGACTTTTAATCCTTGTCTGAATTCAGTTTCTCCCCCTCCCGCGCGAAGCGCGGAAGCTTTAGACGTTTCATAAATTATGAAAAAAAGCAGAAGATTCGGTGTACTGTTCTCGAATTCATCTTAATCCTTATCTGAATTCAGATCTCCCCCTCCCGCGCAAAGCGCGGAAGTTATGGCGTTTCATTACATTATTAGAGAAAGTAGACGATTCGTTGAACAGTGCTCGACTCTTAATCCTTATCTGAATTCAGTCCCCCCCCCCCCCCCCCCCCCCCCCCCCCCTCTGCGCGAATCGCGAAAGCTTTGACGTTTTCTCAAATTATTAGAGAAAGAAATCAGTTTGTTGTACCGCTGTTGACTCTTAAACCTTGTTTGAATTAGTTTCCCTGAAAATTTTTAATCTCTGATTTCTTTAGCTGATATTATAGGAAAGTGAAACTTCGAGAAAATACAAGTATTGTAGTTGTAGTCACTCTCGAAGTCATCACAGCGGATAAAAAGTCACAGTTCGTAGGGGAAAAAACTTGTCGGCTGACCGACAATATACATCTCACCGACTTCAAACTTCTGCATTGATATAGTACACGAGGATCGAGCAAAAATACCGACACAGCTGACCCGACAAAGCAACATATTTACCCATGTCTTTCTTTTACTTCCACTCCTCCTTTCTCAGGCTCTTACCTCCCCCCTCTCTCCTCTCTTCACCCCCCCCCCCCGTTTCTTTTGTTTACCTTTTCTTCTTTCTTTTTCTTTTTTCATTTTCTTCCTTTTCTTTCTTTTTCTTTCTTTCCTCTTCTCCCTCTTTTTCTTTTTTCTCTTTCTTTCCTTTCTCTTTCTTTTCCTTTCTTTCTTTTCTTTTCCTTTCCCTCTCTTTTTCCCCTCCCCCTTTTCTCTTTTTTCCCGACGGCAGCGCAATTTTACCGACAATATCCTGACAGGTGGAGGGGTGTCGCACCCCCACACCCCCCCCTTTGGCGACGCCCCTGGTTATAGGATAATCATGTACTTTTAAGAATACTATCAATTGCCTGAAGATTGCTTGCAAGGCGCGAAACTCGGAGTAGAAACCATGTCCCATTAGTCTGCCTGCTCTGCCTTGGAATTGACCACTGTTCGGAAGGATATATAGCAAAGCATAATATAAGAGGAAGGGGGAGAGCAGCCGGGTCACCGTGCCCCTGAAGAAGAATACCCTCCCCTCCCCCCCCCCCCCCCGTCTTCCTTCGGCAATAGTCGGGCAAAAAGTCACAATTTGGGGCCGAAAGGTAAACAAATTTAAACTGGGAAAGTGGAAAATAAAGCAGCGGTGAAATAACAACTGCAGAATATCCCTCGCTGTTCTTTTTCGATAAGCCTAATATATAACCCGGATGTAACCATAACAAACTTGCCACATGATTTTGTTTTTATTTTATACCTCTAACATTAATACCTCTGACGTTTTTTCCTCTGACATTTTTACCTCTGACATTTTTACCTCTGACATTTTTTCCTCTGACATTTTTACCTCTGACATTTTTACCTCTGACATTTTTACCTCTGACATTTTTACCTCTGACATTTTTTCCTCTGACATTTTTACCTCTGACATTTTTTCCTCTGACATTTTTTCCTCTGACATTTTTACCTCTGACATTTTTACCTCTGACATTTTTTCCTCTGACATTTTTACCTCTGACATTTTTACATCTGACATTTTTTCCTCTGACATTTTTACCTCTGACATTTTTTCCTCTGACATTTTTTCCTCTGACATTTTTACCTCTGACATTTTTACCTCTGACATTTTTTCCTCTGACATTTTTACCTCTGACATTTTTACCTCTGACATTTTTTCCTCTGACATTTTTACCTCTGACATTTTTTCCTCTGACATTTTTACCTCTGACATTTTTACCTCTGACATTTTTACACCGAGCCAGATTTGTAGCTTATTAATTCCACTGGCAAGGAACAAGTGTGGGGGCGTCCGACGAGGAAACCTGACCATATGCAGCATCATTGTCACTTCTAACACGGGTATGGGGGAAATAAGGCGGGAGAGGGCACGACCTATATGCTTGGCGGCCAAAGAAAGGGAAATAGAAGAGAATGATATGAGACAGATGTAGAGAGAGAGAGAGAGAGAGAGACAGTGGGGGAGAAAACGAATACAAATGGGATGGGGGTGTAAAGAGGAAGTTAAAATATTCAGCAAGTTTATAGAGGGAACCAAAGATGATCGTGAGGAAAAAAGAAAGTGTAATTATCATGGGGGGGGGGGGGGGGTCTCGAAATTTGAAAATGTGACATTTTTCTCCGTTGGGGGGGGGGGGGGGATAAGGTCACCTATTTTAGGTTAGCCGTGGGCATATATATATATATATATATATTTAAAAAAAAATAAATAAAAAAAAAAAAAAATCAAAGGGGGGGGGGGGTTTAGGTTTTTTTTAGGGGGGGTTTACACACATAGAAATACCAAAGGGGGGGGCGTACGCCCCTGCCTTCAAGTCATCGGTGAACCTGCGACCTTTGGCGTTGCTCAATTAGTATGGGATGAGGGTATTTCCCCTTCCCCCTCCCCATAAACACAAACACATACCAGCTCAATTTTAATGGTTGCTTTCATCAGGGGCTGATCCAGCCGGCGGTAGGGGAGGGGGCCAAAGAGGGGGCCCAATTCGTGAGAAAATATTTAGCGGCGAAACAGCCAGCCGGTCAATAAACGGGTAGGGGGGGGGGGCAGGGGCACTAATTTTGTTGCCGTGCTCAAAGAGGAGGGAGGAGGGAAAGTGATCACTTTTTTTTAAACTCATCCCCACCCCCCCCCCCCCCCCCCCTTGAGCACCAGGGTATGGGCCCGTGTTCTTTTTTCCACAAAAAAAGGTAAAATTAACGTGTGTTTACCTGTTTGTTTGTTTTTTTGCAAGGGGAGGGGGCGGGCACCCCCCCCCCCCCCCCCACCTCCCCAACCGAACGGTTATCAGGCCAGGTTTTGTAGCCATCAATCATTCAGCCGGTGAGGCCTTCATCAGATGCTACTTGATTATCTAAATTAATTATTCCTCTTAATCTTATTACAGACTCGTCAGAAATACACGTCGTGAATATAATGCGTTTTGTCTTGCATTGAGGATGCCCCATTAATCATACAGAATGGACGCTAGAGGGCGAATCCTTGATTACGAAAAAAAAAAATAAGGAGCAACTTCGAGAAGGGCATAATGATCTTTCGAGGACCTACTCGGTAAATATAAGATTTTGAGCACATTTATATGTTCATAGCCATTTTTTACTATACAATGTGTTTATCGTATTTTAAGTAGATTGTTCCTTTTCTTTTCTTCAAAAAACTAGAGTGTTTTATTCGTGTTTGCATGTGTTTACAGCCGTGGTTACGGACTTGACAACGGACGCCGAATAAGGCACGTCGTTTGGAGCTTGTTTAACGGTGTCTTACAAAACTCGTCCCCAGAGTTCGGGGGCAAAAGCCGCACAATGTCTGTAGGTTATTGACTGGGCCGAGTTGGGGGAAGTGAGGCCTGATGCCGCCATTATCCACAATGCAGGACTATTTCTACCCTTTCCCTTCGTTTTTGATAATGAAATTGATCGGATGTCATGAATGCTACTTTTCTGTAGACCGAATAGGGTCTAGCTAGGCCTAGAATCAATCATCTAGATCTCCTGCAATAAATATTCATGCCAACTTTCAAGTTTCAGTTTAACTTTTACAACAAAAATGCCTGTTTTTGTTTACATTGTCAAATTAAACATGCATGTTTGTTTAATTGAAAGTGAAACGTGATGTAATTCTTTCCTTGTACAGGTGGATTCTTCTATGAAATGATGTTGTGCTCCAAAGAAGCAGCAAAGCTACTAAGAATAGTCACATTTAAAGGTAAAAAAAGAAGGCTGACACTAAGTTTTAATTCTTGCTTTTATTAATCTCAAACCTACGTACACTCGCAATATAATTATAAACACATAGTGACATATATCATCAGTACACTTGTAGTCATGTAGAGTCTAGGCGTCTAGTAAGTATGGAATTGTTGAAATGTGCTTTCATCAGCTTTGTCATGTTCATGTAGACCCTATGACACATTTCTTTATCATTCTAGATGACAAATTTCTTCATTTAAAGATAACTATAAAAATGATGAAAAGTATTTGCATTTTTAAGATTAAAAACTGTGTAAGGAAGGAGTACTTTCTAATAGTTCATCTGCATGGAGATTAATAGTATTCCTTGCTGAGTATTACATATTGACCTTTAAATCGCCAAACGAATCAATCATGATTTGCTTAAACACTTGGAATGGTTCAAGTGTTTTGTTACCTGTGTTTATTTAACAAGCACTAGCACTGATTTTAATTAGTACACACAAGTTAAAATTTGTATGTGACATGGTACATGTATACTTGTATTCATGTACTTTTGTGTGTATTACAAGATTTCATTATTAAGTCAATATGCATGGAGCCATTTTCATTTCCTACATGTCTGTGTGTCATTAGTCAAAGTGTGTGCCCACCACATGTCTGAGTGTAAGCATATCGCTATGTACATGTATACATTGCTCATAAAGCTACCATCATCCTGCTTTTAACAAAAATTTACTTGCCAAAACCAGCTTCTTCCTTTTCTCATTCCAGTGTCAGTTGTATACATTTATACTTCTCTTCTAAATATACATGATCTAAACAGATCTATATCTCTCTTCTTCTTTCATTACTCTTTTTGCCACCCTTTCCTATTCCATTCCTGCACACCATCATAATCTCTGTCCTGTCACACTCTTCTTGACTAACCCCTGACCGTTGCCACGCCCAGATGACCCTTCACCACCAGCTGACCAACACGTGGTCACTGCCCCCAAGTCGGTCCGAAGGGCCCTCATTCTCAACCATGGGGGTGCAGCAGATGAGGGGGAGAGGCGGAGTGCGGCTGCCGTAGAGCTGCAGAGGATGTGGAGAGGGTTTTGTATCAGGTAGCACTCATTATTTCCAGAGCCATCTATACTCAAGAGTTTGGCCAAACTGATTTTTTTGGTGTGTGCTTTCTCAACAAAGCCATATGTTTTGTATTGTGTCCAAAGAAACAGGTTGGGCAAACTCTGTATAAAGTGGCTCTGATTCTTTCTTTGGTCTTGCACATATTGTTTCCTTTACATTGTAAGTTTCTATGAGAAAATGCTTAAACCTTTAACGAAATCTTACCTCCCTCTTTCTATTTGTACCCAAACATGTATCTATGCTTTCTCATTGTCATTTGTGTAAAGCTAGTATATATATTCCTATTCTAACTCATTTCCATAAACTACCAAAGCCTACCTGTATATATTGCTTGCATCTACATGTATGTTCACTAGCAATAACACCAATGCTTGCGATATTGATTTTGAGAGCTACAGTGTATGTAGAGAGTCATAACATATTCATGCTTCATCTCCACTCCCTGCTGTGCTATTTATTCACATCGTGATGTGCTTTTTGTGTAAGCCAGAATCATCATACATGTACTTAATTTGAAAGTGTAATTTGGATATGTTTTGATTTATGTTGCCACTTTACTGATGATATTTCACCTGATCCTTTAGATGTCGTTGGTTTGAGGTCCTGAACCCCACGACCAGCGTTGAGCCCAACAGGCCAGAATCAAGAGCTTATAGTAGGTTCTTAGCCTCACGGGCCTCCTCTTATCGGCGGTCAGTTGCTACCATCAAACAGGTAATCATCACCATCCTTCAATGACTGGTTTTCCCACACTGATGGGTAGGGCATTTCACATCATTTCCTTTTTCCAAACATTCTAGGGGGTGTTTCACAAAGATCCTAAGTTGAACTTACATGTATCTCTAAGTTAGACGTAACAATTATGGAAAGCCGTTTAATCTTTGAAATATTTTGTGAAAGTTATTCTAAAAGGCATAAAATGTTGATTCAAATCATTCATATTTTCTATTATCAAGGAGAATTGAAACATTAGTGCCCTTAAAAAAATAATCTTGAAATAATCAATGATACACCAATTAATTGTGTCAGACAGTGTACAATGTCTTTGGTTATGAGTAAGCACGTTTCCCAAATAATATGTATCATACTTTTAAGGACTCTTGCTGCAAAGAGAGTTCTTGATATGAAAGTACACATAACAAAGTCTTTGATTTTTGAGAAACTTTGTAGACATATTTAGTTATAACAGCAATATTCATTTGTATTATGAAAAACATGAACTATAGAAATGAACTACAGAGAAGTTTAGTATTACAGAGTGTTCCAATTTTTCATATAATATTGTATATTCATTTATTTAATACAGTATGTACATTGTAAGTATTCCATCTTGTCTAAATACCTGATTTTCTTGATCATTTTCACTTCTTGTAGTTTGGTGAACGAGAGTCAAGGTTGCAGGAATACTTTCAGAACTGCCGTCAGAAGGCAGAGGAGAGAGGAGAGGAGAGCATCACGTAAGTTCACCAGTCATTACCACATCTTTTGGGGATTTAAATAATGGAAATCTCATTTGAGGCAATATCAGTGATTACAGCTACCGGTAGATCTTATTCTGCCTTTAGAGTGAATTTTAGCCATTAGAATGTGAGGAAATGACAATGTTCATAAAATGACCTGATTTTCATTTTTGATACATGTTTGTTGAAGCCTGAATAATGAAGAAACTAAAAAATCCAGGCTGTGTTGTTGTACGGGCTCTAGAAAAAATGTTTGAACAGATCTAGGGTTAGATAACTTATTAAAGAAAATGAGAAGAAAGAAGGAGCTATATAACGTCATTGTGTATAATAAAAATATGGAAGATCTTTAGTCTCTGTATGTTTATGTGCCCTTCTAGGCTAGAAACAAAGCAATGGAGTATATTCTGCTTAATTGCATAAATTCTTTCATTCAGCTTGTAAGAGGAAAAATACTGCTTTTTCACATTTTCACATTTTCACTTATTGATAGCTGTGGGCCAGATCATCATATCCTCTTTAAACCTACCGACTTTGTTTCTGTTTCAGATTGGAAGATTTCTCTGCCCACTTCATCCAGAGTTGGTGGCACAAGGTCCACACCAGACGTCAGCTCCAAGGCAGGCATCAGCTCCAGGGCATCTCGGGCATCTCAGTCACCATGGCCACCGTCACGCCCATCAAGAGCGCCTCCTCCATCACCAAGTCCGTCTCCATCGTTCTCTCCCCAGAGACGGGCGTGGTCATGGGCAAAGTGCATACACCAGGGACACCACCACCGTCCATCAAGGCGGAGTCCAGGAGGAGGTCTAGGAGGTCGGTGCCAATCACGAAGAAGAAGAGGACGGAGCCATTGCTGCCGAATGAGGCGGCAGCTATCATTCAACAAGCCTGGAGGAGACATATTGTAAGTTGTTACAGTATCACAGTCATGAATTAAAGTAGACTGTGGTGGGAGAGCATTATAAAGCTGAACAAATATTATCAATTGCATGCCCTTTCTACAATATCAATAATTCAAAAGAGAATCTTAGCAGACCAAGACATTACTAATCTTAAAATCGGCAACATCATTTTAATTAGAATTAATTTCTTTCTTATGAAAACAATATATATATATATATATATTTTTTTTTGAGGGGGGCAGGGGCTGTAAGTCATCTTTATGATAGTCATGATATTGTGTTTTCTTCTTTCCTTTAATAATATAAGAGAAAGTCCCAGTTCGGTTGAATTCCTTTAGCACTATAGAAGTCGGCTGTCCTTGATCAGTATACATACTGTACATGTATACCAAATCAGGGCATAAACTCATAATACATTTATATGCAAAAATATGATATATGTACATACCATGTACAGATGCATGTCTTGTCACCTAGACAATAGAAAAGTGATAAATATCTCACCTTCACTAGCAGTCCATCCATCATCACTCTCAATCTGTCACCATCACAGGATGTGCAGGTGTACCGCTACTACAGAGACCTCATCAACTTCCGTTGCCGTGGCAACCCAGCCATGATGCTGCGTTGCATCAATCCGAAGGAGGCCAGTCTGCTGGATGCTGCTGCTGGGATCCACGTCAAGTTTAGACTCGCTGGGGTAAGTTGAAAATTATGTGAAGTTAGTATGATTATGTATCATTACCTTATCTTATAAAAAGTATTTGTTGGCTATCTTACCATTCGTTTGAATTAGACTATCGTTAGAAATACATATTTACAATGTATTATTGAGTAATTGAATTACCCATTTTGTTCATATGAAATACATATTTACAATGTATTCTCGAGTACTAATTGAATAATCCATTTTGTTCATATGAAATATACATATTTACAATGTATTCTTGAGTACTAATTGAATAACCCATTTTGTTCATATGAAATACATATTTACAATGTATTCTTGAGTAATCGAATATCCCATTTTGTTCATATGTTCACAAGTTATTACGTGATAATTTTTCATAATGCGCAATGCTACAATTGTTGATACATTAAAGTCTCAATAAAATTGAAAAGTTAATATTCTTTTTTTTCTTTATTGACAGCTGCATTGTTCTCTCTGCCCTTTTTTTATTAGAACTTAGACATAGTCTTCTTTTTTAAAATCTCATTTTGTACCACACTTTGGTTTGTTCTGTCGCAATGAATTCTTGTCACCTGATCAAATGAATGAATTTCCTTATTTAATTTCCCCTCCATTTCAGACAAAGTAATTGGATATCAAGGTAACTTAATCAAATTAATAAAAACTTACTTCTCATAATTATTTTCCTTATTGCTGTTCTAAGAATATCATATTGTTGACAAACTATCCATTAAAATGAAAAATATTATTAAAAACAGTATTGGCAAGCATTGGATACCTTGAAAAAAGGTAATCTTTGATAGAGGTGATAACCAACCTATCTGTATGCTTTACAGGCCAGATTTCCGCCCAACATCTACTACAAGATCTTTACTCATCGGACCATCATCGACATGTGTGCCAACAGCCCTAAGGACTACACCAAGGCCAACACCAAACGGTTTGCTGCTAGGGATGTCCACAATCGGAGGGAGCAGGGGAGTCCAAAGCTGGAGAGGGTGGAGGTTGATAAGATAGGGTGGTACCAGAGGGAGGAGAATAATGGTTGGAGACTGGTCTCTGACAGGGTGAGTTGGTTAGCTATAAAGGCCATGAGAGTGTGTCACAAAGATCCTAAGTCAAACTTATCTCAAAGCTAGACTTAACAATTATGGAAAGCAGTTAGCATCTTTGAAAATATTGTGTAAAAGTTATATTAAAAGGCATTAAATTTTGATACAAATCATTTATATTTTCTATTATCAAGGAGATTTCATGTTCTTGAGGTGGAATTTATAAAAAGGCAACAAATGGCTCTCCATAATGTTTAAGTCCAACTACGAGTACAGTTCGACTGATATCAATAAAGATAACCATAAAAATGATTGCTCGCCACTATTGTTTATGCAGAACATGAGTTGGAAATAATTGTTGTAGGTCTGACCTCAACGATTTTATTCCAATGTGCCTTCCTCAATTATTGTATGTCTCATGTTTTATGTGTTATGTTAAGATCCCTTGGCAAGTTAATTTTTTGAGGACGAGCCTCTGTGAGACAAAAATTTCACTTGCTTGATGTGATGTAAGTGGTTCTAGAACACCTACCCCCTGGACATCCACCCCCCAGATAACCATCCCTAGTCAACTACCCCCTAGGACAACCACCCTCTAGGACGACTATCCCCAGACAACTACCTCCCAAGCAACTACCCCATAGGACAACTACCCCCTAGGACAACTAACCCCCGGACAACTGTCCTAGGGGATAGTTGACTGGGGGGCGGTTATCCGGGTGATGGATGTCCAGCAGGGGGTAGATGTCCGGATACGGATGTGAGTTGCAAAAGAGATGGGGGCATTGTACATAGTAGTTGGTCGATGGAACTAATCATTTCATCATTGTGAAAATAGGTGAGGTCAGATGACTTACATTGTTATCATCATCAGTACATTCATTGTCGTTTTTGATGATGTCTGAACAGGCCCTTATGCCAGCATTGTTGATGTTAGTCTTTATTTGACACCAGTTCCTTACAAACAGAGAAAATAAAATAAATATAATCAAGTATTTATCATATAATATCAAATACTTCTTTGCAATCTTACTACATTTTTTTTTTTAACGCAACTTTAGATAGTTGCATGGGCTTTGTTCTTTGGCTTTTAAGAATTATTTAATGCCTGTTAAAGAAATAAGTTATTTTGATAATTCTGTGTTGCTCTATACCAAAGATGTGAATATCAATCATTCAATTTATATATACTTTTTTTTTTTTTTTTTTTTCTAGTTGATCTTGAGGGCAGACCAGGACCCAGTCACATGGGAGAGTTCTAAGACCAAACAAGACTTCCCCCACTCCAAGCTACAGAGGAAAGAAGATGTGGAGAAGAAAAAGAAGAGGAAAAAACTAGATTGGATGAAAAAGATGTAAGTAATAAGAAAACAATACTAATATAAACAATCATGGATGAATAATAATGTACAGATTCTCATGTGGTGTCCTTCATTGTAGATGTTGAAAAGAAATGATCAAAATCAAATGAGAGATCATACACCCAGGATCAAGATTAAGAATAACTCCTGCTGCCACTGCTATAAAAAAAAACCACTACATCTTCAATCGACTCTAGGATGGACCTAAACTGTATGATAGTGTAAAAGATGAGAACACATTTGCACAGTCAACCTTGAGACAGGAATGTTCATTGTAGACCCAGAATTCATGATATTTATGCCTGCAATCATACAGTTTGTCCTTTTTGTGCCTCTTCATAATTGCAGTTTTACCGAGATATAAATCCACTTTATACCTAGTACTGTGACTACTGTAATGTACAACATAGTATTTGATATTGCCCAATTAAAGTTATAATAATCTAGTTATGTAAATATAAAATTGAATTTGCAAGTCTTCTTATCAATGAGAGGCGTAATCAAGTAAGAATCGCAACAATATGTACATGTAAGACCATTGGAGCAAACGTCCCACATTAAGTTATTGAGCACTACCCAATAACTGCCGCAATATTGACCAATGACCAACCTTAAATAGTTACATTTGGCATTTCAGTACTCCATTTTCAAACCCCCTAATCATGCAGGTCCCTCGGAGTGGACCTAAAGCTGTCGGCCGTCTGGTTGCTTACTAACAAGCATTTATTGCTTTCTTTAATAGCTGTCAGGTAAAATAAACACCACTATCTATGCTGACTTTGTGATCTTTTGACCTCTTGCAGGTACAAAGACGGCATGCTCCAAGCCCAGGCTGAAGACGAGGGTCTCAACACTCTTGTGGAGGATGCTACCAGCGGCCTCATGGCCCAGCTAGAGAACAGGGGACCCGAGGCCGTGGACGACTGGGAGGTCGATGAACTCCTCCAGTGGACAAGTGGCTTAAACTTTGATGAGTAAGTGGATTATTTTAGCCGCGGACATCAGAATTCTCAGAATTACAGAAAATAATTCAGCAAAATAAAAAATTTGCTATGCATTCAGAGGGGCTGCACTACCAGCCTCCTGTTTGGTCCCTCATGCTACAACAACACAAAGGCATGTTTTGCTCCCATGATGCACACTCACATTTATTGTGCACAATTAATTTACTTCACCATGCCATCTCAAACTGACGCAAAGTAATTCGCTATCTTTAGAAGATAGCTTCTAGGAGCTATGGAAATACATTATTAGTTTGAGGTGCAAGGATTAATATTACAACAACAAGTAAATTACTTGTTTGGGTGGTGGTTGGGGGTTAAGGGAGATAATGGGCAAGCTTGAATGCAAAGCATTTTAACCAGGTTCTGCCCCCCCCCCATATGATCATGTTTGAGTGAATATATCATAATCGTTATCACTAGCAATTCTCCAAGCCTTCATGTCTTCAGCATCGGCCTGGGTGAGGCCAGATGCTCTCATATATTCTCCAGCTTAATCCTCCATCTCATATGGCTAATGTAGATGTTGACTTCTGGTATTACTGCAGTGGGGTTCTAAAGGTGTTTACCCTAGAATTCTAGAGCTTTTTGGTCATCACTGGGTTTATATGCCATTGTGAATTGAATTGATCCATATATAATTTCTCTGTCTTTTTTTTCTTCAGCTACCAAAAGTCTTGGCAGGAGATAGCCACTTCTGCAGGATCAGAGGCCTATATAGGTAAGTCTAGACTCTGACCCCTGCATGGAGCTCAGCCATTCAGTTGTTGAGCCAAGAATTAACTATCCTGTATAAGTCACTTTATGGAACGTTGGTGTTTATTCCAAAGAAATGAAATATTTGCGTCAGCAATTTTGTACTGAATCGAAATAGCAACTGCTGTAGTTGTGGCTGGTTTCATGCTAGCAATATTTAAAGACCCTATCCGATGAAAATCCAGCTTGATATAATTGGAAAACTTAACGAATGTAGAATACAATTATAAAGGAATAAAAAGTATTTACCCTTTAATTATTGCACAAAAGCAAATTAAAACCTCATATCCTGCACCCCTCCAAATTACAATTCAACATGGGTAAAATTTGCCGAAGTTACAGTGACGACATAACATGCATGTGGACCTGACCGGTTCACCTATATAGCTGAGGCGATGAGCCATGCTGAATTAATGCAAAGTCATTGTGAATATGCATACTCCACATAAGATGATGTCATCAAGTCGATGGCAAGTTTTTAGGTTGACAACTTCCGACTTTCAAAGCTTTAGATTTTGAGTTTTCAGAGAGCTGATACTCCTCCTACAGACACTTAATGGCATATAATTGATATTATTGTAATCTATGGCTTATAAACAATCCATTTCATTTTTCAGTTCGGATATGGTCTTTAACAAAAGATATGATTAAGTAGAATGTATGTACTGTGAAACCAGAACTTTGTGGGCGATTGGAACTTCAGACTTTGTGAGTGATCTGGATTCTCTAAAGTTTAATGATACTAATTGAATGAATTTGTGTATCACATTGTCACAAGTCCCTTGCTGTGAAAATTGCCATCCATAATAGTTGCCATTATAAGTATGCATTATAATAGTGCATTTCTGCACTTGTCACAAGTACCTTGCCATAATTATTGCAATCCATAACAGTCTAAGTTTCTGATTTTCATTTCTTTGCTTGTTCTAATTTTGGCTCTGTCCATCTTGTTATTTTCTCAGATGAGAGGTTGCAGTTCAAGACGAGCAAGCAGGATCCTTACGAGTTCAGCTTTACCATGAGAGAGTCTCTCCCTTCCCCGCCGTCACCCTCTAGAGTCACCACGGCCAAGTCAAGAAGTGCCACAACAAAACTCCAGATGGAAGACATAGCGGTCAACTGAAATGGCCAGGGAAAAAGCAATGACTTTTATTTTGCCTGATGAGACAGACAAAATTGAAATGTGAATGATATAAGATTTTTCAAGGAAACAGGAGAACAGTATGGTAACATCACATGTTTACATTCCTGGAGTGCAGTTCAAGACAGTTGCAGTTCCAATCAAGGAATTAAGATCCTTACATGTTCAGTTTTACCATGAAGGACTCTCTTCCTTCCCAGCCCTCACCATCTAGAATCATCAGAGCCATGACACAGAGTGCCACAACAAAATTACAGATAGAAGACATATAGCTGTCAACTGAAATGTACAGTGAAAAGTTGCCAGATGAGAAGAGAATAAAAGTAAAATGAACTGATACAGATTTTATAAGGAATCAGGAGGAAGGACTAGTAACATCTGATTTTTTACAGGCTTGGAGTACAGTTCAAGACGTGCAGTTAAAGACAAGAAAGCAGAGACTCTCTCTTTCTTCCCTGCCCTCACCATCTAGAATCACCATAGCCAGGTCATAGAGTACCACAACGAAAATCCAGATCAAAGATATACAATGTAGCTGTGAACTTAGGCAATGCAAATTTTGTCAGCTGAATGGCTAATCAAAAATTGGTATGAAGGTTGATACAGATTTTTTAAGGAAAATGGAGGAAAATATCATTTGTCCTGGCTTGTCAACATGAAATGGAATGACCTGGGAATCACTGTGAACAATCATTCTGCACCATATTTAAATATGTAAAGAAGACAGTGCTGCATATAAACTGAGAGACCCATTGTAAAACATAGTAATAAATTTTCAGCATCAATATAAATTAACAATATTTACTATGGAGCATTCATACATGGTCAGAACAAAATGGAGGAACAAAAGTGCAAACCAACTTGGATACTAATGATAATTACTTGAAGGAAACCTCCTGGCAACACTATAGCTTCAATTTTTAAATAAAATATCAATATAAGATATTATATACCATTCTTGTATCTGCTGAGTTGATTTAACATGGATGGTCTTGGCAGTGCTGCACTTTGGTGCTCAGAATTTGAGTGGGACAAAATTTAGGTGGCATGAAAGTCAGGGATTGTAACGTAAGAAGATTGTTTAGGAGGATACAGCATCTAGGCATACAAAAATCAGAGACCCAGGTGTCAGAAAGAACAGTCTGGTAGAATTTGTTAGCAGCTGGATTATTGACTTCACAAAAGATTTAGATTTATACATTCCCGGGAGGAATGTACACTCCAAAAAAAAATCAAGCATATATATATATATACTCTGTAATCTATACATACTAAGTTGGTAAATACAGTGCAAACTTGAAATCATGTCTATTGGTTTAGAATGTTTCAATGTCTAGGTGAATTGTAGAAAAGGGGCTCTTTAAACAAATTTAATGTAAAATAAATGTGGCAAGAGTTCAATGCAGGAATGATTTAAAGATCCACAATGTTTTCTGGTGACTGAGTTACGTACATGTAGGAACATTCCACTTTTTGAGTAGTTTTTAATGAAATTACTCTACAGCTTTTTCCAATGACTTTAGATGATAAAGTATCAGTCAAAGATCATCAATTACATTTTACAGTAGTAAGTATTCATCAGTTCTTGCTTTGGCAAGTAAATTTGAAATCTTCTAAAGTATGAATACATTCAATTATATAAGGAATATAATATTCAATTGGATATATTACTTGCTGTTCCAAATTACTTGGAAAAGAAAAGGAATCTCCTGTAGGCAGATTTTCTTGAAAAAGCGATTGTCATATAAGTATGTAATAATATAAAAGGGGAAATTGTTTCATTTCAATATCAATTGAAAGAGACTGATTTTAATGAAATATTTAGTAGTTGATGACAAGTTCAGAAGCCACAATATCTGAGATATTGAAATGTAGCCAAAGTTGGAGATATTTTCCAACACTGCGGTAATCATTCAAATTAGTGCTACAAACATATATACATGTAGAAATTTATTCCATTCTTCCAAGTATCTGCCGTCCATGATTTTTCTGTAAGAGCTATATATTTATTGAATATGTTGTTTAAACTGAATATATAATTCGATGTGAAAATATTGGCCATTATTCTTTAAAAATGAATGTATGTAAAAATATATATTTGCAATTAAATTGTTAATGTATTACTAATATCGCTAATGTTATGTGCAAGTTTGTGTTCCTTTTCAGTTTTAGGTACATGAATAATTTCAGCTCTGTAAGAACAGAAGACAAGATTTAAGTATTCCTCCTTCTCCCTTGCCGCCTCCTGTCTGCTTCCCCTTCTTCTCTCCTCCCTTCTTCTCTTCTCCCTTCTTCCCTTCTTCCCCCTCCTCTTCCCCTCCTCCCTTTCCTCCTTCCATCACCCTTGCTTCTTCCATCTCCCCCTCCCTCTCCTCATCCTTCTCGTGATTATCACCCCCATCTTCCCCTCTTCAGTTCTTCCCTTCCTCCTTATAACCAAGCCACCACTTCATTCTTAAGATTCCTGTGTATGACTCATTCAACCTTGTAGCTCTCCTTTCCTTCACCTTGACCGCATTCTCTTCTCAAGATAACGTTACAACATGCTTTCTATTATGTCTAGATGGGTCCTCCTCTTTCAGACCTTTGATTCTTCCCAACTTCTCATCACCGGTTGATTATTTGCACCCTAACTTTAGCAGTTTTCTAAAGAGCTAGACAGAGATTTTCTTTGATATGGGTATTATGGTAACATTGGGTGTAGATAGAACGGAGATGAGATGGGGAAAAAAAAGAGAGAGAGGGGGGGGGGGGGGGGGAGGGGGTGAGGGGGGGGGGGCAAGGGGGAAGAGGGAGAGACAGCATGAGTGAACTATGGGAGAGACGGAGAATGGAGCACATTGAATAATCATTTCAGCGAGAGAGAGTACGTACTGTACGTTCATGACCTCGTGAATGTTATCAGCATAACTTGGAAGAGATGAAAACATGATATCAAGAAAAAGATAAATGGATTGGCAGAGAAAGGTATGAGAAGGGAGGTAGATGATAGAGAGGAAAACACATACGGATCAGAGAATGGAGTTGATATATAGACAATTGTGTGATGAGAGGAATATATCGAAAGGGAGAGAGAAAGAGTAAGATACAGATTGTGGAGAGAGATTGATGGTGGAAAGGGAGAGATGGTGGAGAGGAAGAGAGGTGGAGAGGAAGAGAGGGAGAGAGAGAGAGCCAGACATAGATGGCAGAGTGGACAGGGAGAGAGAGAGGTGGTCGTAGTATGGGCGTGAGTGTCGTATGCGCGTGTGTGAAGGAGAAAGAAAACAGATTAATTTCCTAAAGCAGTACGTATGTATTGAGCTCCCGGGGGGGGGGGGGGGGGGGGGGGGCCGGGGTACTCAGATTATAGTCGGACGGGGGTGTGCGGCTGAGACCTCCGAACCCATACCCACATCCAAGGGTCCTTTTGCTGAAATAGGTACCCATGTCTAAGGATTTTTTGTGAAAAATGGACCCATGTCTAAGGATTTCAAATATTACATTTTTAAAGCTGTAATAATACACTCCAGCAAAGCATATGGAGAGTCAACGCTAATGCATATTGACCTTTAGCACTGCACTACGCGTTAATAGGCAGCATTTAAATACATGAATAGTCAATACACTCATAACACAGAGATGCACACAATCATACCGATGCGGCTGATCGGCAAGTTCGACAGTGGACTCACAATTTGATTTTTTTAATTATTCTTTCTAACATCGGAAAGTTGAAAAATGTATTTTACTGCTATTTAGATCTTATCAATTGTCACTAAAGTATAGATTTTTAGTGAAATTGGTTGAGTTTTATACAGTGGTGTTTGAAATGTTGAGAATCAATAGCACAGCTTTTAATACACAGCCAGGATAGTAATGCACCTATGTGTGTATTAATACCATGGCCAAAAATTTTGCAGTTTCTCGATAAAATTCTTTATTAGTAAACTGTACCATACAACATGTAGTTTACAAGTAGTTTACACACATAAAGATGAAAACACCATGCAACATAATTATACTGTGCTAGCACCTCTATCATCTGTTCTAATTGAAGGACAGAGGGTACGCATGCAGGGTATAGCTGATGATCATATCATTTTCAGCGTTCAAAGCGCTCCAAGTTTCCGGGGGTACGACGCCTATATACGGGCGGATACCATACCTAGCGCGCATTATGCCATATAAGTACCCGGTATAGAGCCCATGGGGTCGTGATATATGTGGTACCCCGGGATCTAGTTGAGTTTACGAGCTACTGACTTAGAGGTCAGTGCGTACACCTCGTACACTGGAAATGCAATCAACCGAAGGATTCATTATTTAGAGATGGGAGAGATTTAGGCATTTGCAATGTAGGAGAAAATCCCAAAATCCCGGAGAAAATGAGGGAGAAAAGAGGGGAAAGGAATAAATGAAAAAAGGGACCCATGTCTAAGGATTTTTTTTAATGAAAAGGGGACCCATGTCTAAGGATCTTTCCTGAAAAAGTCACCCTTCCGAGCGGCACATCCCCGTATACCCAATATACGTGAGTACCCCCCCCCCCCCCCCCCCCGGGACTGAGCTGATCCTTAACCAAATATTTGGTTAAGGGTGTATCCAAGTTAGAGCCTACAGAAAGTGATGAAATTAAAGGCTTTAGAGAGTATGATTAGCGTTTCATGAATAAATGATTATTTGACATAATACGAGATCACCTACTTATCCTCCAAAAACGAAAAGCTCTAACAAAATGAAACATCAAAATAAAGGAAAATGGGAATATCATTCTGTCGAACCACAATGAGCAAAATTGCATGTAATCAGCTTCTAATGAACTATATACATCATAATGACGTGTATTAAGATGAAAATTGCATGTGCCTTTTGTTTTAACATAATAAGTATAATTCATGCATAAGCCAATGCATTGGGCCGATAAGGCTACATCAGTCTCGATTGACCAATATTACACCGTCCGGTGCCCATAAAGAATGATTGTAATTATTGTGAGAATATGATAGATGAAGTTTATTTGTTCTCAGAAATTTATACACAAATCTCTGTGACATTTTAGATTGATCAATAAACTATTAGAAGACATAAACTTTAGATATCAAGTATAAATCAATCAAATTCAATTATTCTCATAATCACTGAATGAAAAATTGTTTAGATATAATTAATGTTCCAAATTTATTGGCCAATTTAGTGGAACAAAATAATAGGATTTTCTTAGAACACATACCCACCGATAAGAATAATGGGCAGATGCGAATACTTCCCATTTATAAATAGGAGTAGGAAAAGGAGGGGTGTGGAGGTGGGGGGGGGGGGGGCGTCAAGGCCCCATTCTACAAATTTGATCTTCAGAACGAAGGACTGCTATTGTTATTATCTAATTCGCTTTCCGGACCGTGGGATCAAATTCAATAACAACGTTTTCAATATGCTGAGAAGTGTGATTACGACGTGCGCTGAGAACGAAAGAGAGGCGGAATCCCAAACATTCGGCCCGCCGGTGCCCCCGGGAAAGACAGCTCATGTGAAAGCCTCGTCGGGAATGTTCGTCGCGGAATGTTCGGGGCATCATGTTCAGATTAAGAGCGAGTATAGGCGACCAAAGCTGGTGTGCAATTTACTACCCAGTGACTTCAAGGGATATACACTGTCATATGTTTCGTCCACAATCGAACAACTTATTAACAATATGTACCCCCAACATCCCATTCCCGAAAAGTAACCAAAAATGGTGAATTATTAGTGGTCGTGAGTTATATAGCGATATAAAAGTAATTATAGCAGCAAGAAGAAGATCAAAGGAGAAGAGAATTATGCAATTTTGAGAATGCGATAGTAAGGTTTGATATTCGAGCTTTATTCAATCCTCATCACACTCATAATTATTTAGAGAGCGTGTTAAAAAAAAAAAACGCAGGTTAAGTACGGATGATTTAGAATAATAACTTTGTTCAAATTTGAATGCAACTTAATTATTTCAAAAGAATGTATTTTTATTACGAAAAGCCGGTCATGGGAACAATTTTATTCCAGAATGCTATAAAGTTATAGATACTCTTAAAAAAATACTGAATGTTAAAGATTTTCAATATCTTAGAAAAGGAAAATAAAAAACGGAAGCTATAGCATCCTCTCAAAAAAATTGCAAATTCTGTCCAAGTAGGTTATATTGGTAAGCAATTTTTAGTAAATCAATTTGTGATAACTTTATTAAGTAAGATATTTATTTTATGGTGGGCAAATGTTTACTTTTCCCGACAATGCAGGAATTTACAGACATGTATGATATACACGTTCTCTAATCATGTTGTCCGTTTATGTGAATCGTACAAAGGTATACGAGCATAATAGCCCTCCAGATTTGAAAGATTTCCCTCCAGCCAAGTCCAAGATGGTTTTGCAGGCTATATAATACTACAGACAGATGATGACAGTCGAGGATAGATAACGTAACCGGATAGATGCGGAGAGTGATGATGAGCTGGGAGTAAGGGGTGTGTTTAGTCTACATCAACGGGAAATGATTTACAATATACGACGGGAGGTTGTCTGTCTGTCTGTCTGTCTGCCTCTCTCTCTCTCACTGTCTGCCTCTCTCTCTCTCTCTCTCTTTCTCTCTCTCCCTCTTACCATAAATGATAATTACAATTTGCGGCCCAATATGTATAATATATATATATATATATATATATATATATATATATATATATATATCATTCATCTTATTATGGAAATGAAATTCAAATAACTGACTAGAGCATGGGTCATGTAGGCCTAGCCATAACAATTCATTACAAAGCCTACACATTTTGATGAAACTCGGGTCTTGGATTGGCAAAAATACATAATTTTTTCAATCTGTTTTGTATTACCCTTTTCAAAACTATTCTCTAACTAAGATACAAAACGGTTGCTAAATACAAATCCGCCTCGAAACATTAAGGCACATATTTCAAATTGTTTGAATATAGTTTCACCTGCAATATAATAGCGGTACAGTCTGATAATTATATCCGTATCTGAATATAAACAATGTGTGGAATTTTATCCATAATGCTAATGTACGTCTTACTAACCTTCGGGTGATCTTCATTTTGGTCCATCATCACACAAAATATTACACACTTCATACATACACTTTGCCTTTTC